CCTCATCGCTGCGGTGGTGGAGAGCTTTTGTCCCCGGTGGTAATCCGCTCGCTCTCAATGCCCCAAACCCTGCTATACGGTTTCAAAACAACGCTGGATTATCACCACTTTTGAGAGTGAAAAATGCCGGTAATGCCCTGCAGCCTGGTCTTTTGTTTGGAGTATAGTCTTTTGTGACAGGGCCCTGTTTCCTTTGTCCGAGTTCGGAGACCCCGGCCATGCATATAAACCATACACCTCCAATTTCGGAGTCCCTGGCTGGTAATGGTTAAAAGCATGAACCATGTAAGGGTCTCACTTGTGTGTGGTCAAGGACAAAAAGAGAGCAAATAACTTTCATCAGTGGTGACAACAGCAATTAGTATCCTCCCCCATACAAAGAAAAATTTCCCGGCCTCGCTCCCCCGGTATAAAATCCTGGATCCATCCCTGCTAACCTTCCTCAAATCTCCCACTTTCTTTCCAGAAATACAAGCCCTTCAAGGGAGTCAAGTACATTACCAAAGCAGGCAAGTTCCAAGTTCGGACATGAGTCTGAGGGAATCAAGAATTTGCACAGTAGAATTGTGAGCACCACGTTATTGTTAGATAATCCCAGTGTATCGTCCATGTACACGAACGCGGTAGTCTTTGTCACAATTTGGTTGGAATCATGTAAATGTGTCGATCCTGTGATCTGAACCCAGTTTGGACAAATTTTGCCAGAAATATGTACTGTATTATATAAATTTTCCCCGAAAAGTAGAACCAAAAAGAATGATTATTCACAAATTTAAAAATCTGTTAAGAACAATGTTCAATCACAGCATTACACTTACCCAGATTCTGAACTTTGCTTTGGGGCTCATTTGCGACTTCGTCTTTGAACATTTTCAGGCTGCAAGTTTTAAGCTCTGTTTAGGTAAATTGAGACACTTACATGGAATAGCATCTGCTCCTGGCGGAACAAAAGAGGGCGTGTTTTTTTGGTACTCAGCGCAAAGGCGCACGTTTACAATGGAGATCAATGGTGCCTTTGATGCGGAGCACGCTGAGTACACGTAATGAATTTATTCTTTAATGTAACCGCTTGGAAAACTTACAACCATCTGTCTTTCTCTTGCCACTTGGGGGCGCACTTCAACTCGGGGCGGATTCTGGCTTAAAGAAGAAAATAAAGTGCTGACAAGAATGTGAAATTAAAAAGCCTGGAGAATTTTATTTAATGGTTAACATGCCAGTTTAAATCAGTCCCTATTAGAATCACTGTGGACAGGTTTGACCAGCAACCATTGGTCAGCCGCTGGTCAATTACGACCCACGGCCAATGCGTAAAATTTAACCTTTGTGCACCATGCAAAACTGACCACCCCTCGACAAATTAATGGTCATTGCTCAGAATTGGCCAGTTTGGGGAATTATCCCTCAGAACTCATTTAAGGCCAGCCCCCTAAAGGAGAGATCTCAGTAATAAGAGTGATGTCATTTAAATTAGTTAAGCAGGCCCCGCCCCTAAAAAAAACTGTTTCAATTATTATCAGTTGAAATGAATTGATGTTTATGTGTGTACAGTACTGTAGAGTCACGTTTAGCAGTGTCAAGATTAAACCATCCATTCCGCTAGAAACATTCCCTCAAACCGGCATCGTTTGGAAAGTTGTAACACCCCTAGTAATTCCATCCTTTATTGCATATGCTGAGAAGTGTGCTTCTGACCTTTTTATACGCTAAAAAATAAGTTGATCTGTGCCCGCAGGCTGCTAGTGTTGTTGAAGAAATTTGAAAGGATTTAGTCATTTGCTTTCTTATCAAAGCAAGAAATCATGTATATTTTATTGCTTTGTGTTTGAGCGTGGACTTTTGAGGGCAACAACACCAGCATTCAAAGGGCATTTGTTGATTTATGCGCATATATAATTACCTGCAGTTGCTTTCCCAGGAAGCTGATGATTTGTCCATAGCACCACTATTTCTAAGTTTCCCAAGTTTGCTTAGTATGTTATAAGTTTTACTAAAGCGGATTTCCTCTGATGAACTGCTTTGCGAGATTGGATCCATATTACACACACTGGAAACATCAAAAACTTAAAGTAGCAACATATGACATAGAAATATTACCACTGTATTTTGAAGAAAACGTATAGCATGTAAATATCCTATTAAATAGATGTTGAACAGATACCAAATATCATACCGACGTCTGTTTCTCATTCTCTCTACTGATTTTTTTTAATAAGATTTTGTCTGACTTCATCACTAAATGCAGACCTCAGTGTGAAACCACAGCGTGTTACTTTGCTGTTTTTAGCAGTTGAGAAAAAGTTTTCTGAAAATTCCAGTTGCCGGTTTTTGTTGGTTTTTGTTGACTTTTGGCCAGGACTTTCTTTCAGTCTCCAGGATTTCACAAACATAATGAATTCACAACAACTACTACAGGTTCTGGTCACAGTTGAAGTATTTATTTATTCTCAGTATACTGTACAATTTGCAGCAGCTGTATCAAAACTTGTACAAAATATAATTAATTTCCCATAACCGCAAAATACTCTTAAAATGCGATGCTTTACGAGTTAAAGCATTACGAAAGGAAGAAAAAATAAAAGCTTTTCATTAAAACTTTCTGTATTTGTGGATCATCCTACATTTCTGTTTTTTGGGTGGCAAAACAAAACCATTCATTTAGCTTCAGTCGGTACATCTCAGCGAGAGCTTCCCCCACATATTAGTCTTTATTCATTTATTAAAACCTGAAATTATGCTTTACTTAAGGAAGTCAAAATGAAACCAGATTGTCTCTTTTGGGCTGGGTCTGGTCACGGACTCGCAGCATCTAATGACACTGCTCCTCAACCTCTTCCCAGTAGCATCCCTCTTTGCAGCACTCGTGATTGAAGTCTCGCTTCCCGATGGAGGATTCGAGGAAACTGCCGGCCTTCTCAGGCTTGAGAAACTCTGCAGAAAGAGCAACATACCAGTTTCATTTTACCTTTTGCGCATTTCTCGCAGAAGACCGTTAACTTTTCAAAAGAGTCGGGATCAAATCACCAACAGTTCTTTGGACATTGCCACCTTGCTAAACTCTCTCTAACGCCCATAAAGATTTTCCGTTCGTGTAATGCTACCATTTTAACACTAACTTTATGGAAATCAGACATAGATGCTCGCAACCTTGTTCCTGTTTCCAAGATGCCAGTGGGCAAAAAAAATTTAAAACTTATCCCTGGTGCAGACGCTCGAGAGCTTGGACTATTGTCGTCGTCAATAATATTACCGTAAAAACAAAATCCGCTGTCGGATAAAATGGAAACTATATAGATGTACTTATTACGAATGTCTTTACGTGAGTGGTAGGTTTTAAAGGGCCCATGATAAATTTTTTTTATTAGTGATATTGGAAAATTGTACGTTTCAAAACGAACATCCGGAATTTAAAAGTTGTTATTTTGATTAATAAAGGGGAGAAAAATTTGGTAAACTTTTTTCGCGAAACGGCCCTTTCCCCGAGAGGTATCTCATTAACATAGAAAATTTACATGTCTACGACGCACAGTTAAGAAGACATTGTCGCACGCCGATGGCCCGTCAATGCTTCTCTTGTGCAAGTTTTTATTTATTTATTTATTTTTAAGGATATTTATAGGACAAAGGCGCACAATTCAACCGAATGTAAAAAGGCCCGAAAAAGACAGTGTCCAACACGGTTAGTGCTTTGCAATGTATGGCGCTGATGACAGGATAACGAGGGTACAGTCTCTCCAATACAACCAAAATGACGGCCTCACAAATAAGAAGCACTGATATGCACTTTTGTGCACAATCAATTGAAAATTGGTTGTCCGAAACACAAGCACTGTGCGCGTGAATGATGCACGCAAGCCATACCACGTTTCTCTCTTGAGTTAATATTAGTATGTGGGAGACTTTTGAGGCACTTTGCGGTAGCAAATACATTTGTCCTTTTCTTAATGTCGCGTTGTTTTGATCATGTTCTTATACTGGCCTATAAACATGACGCAAAAACAACAACTTGATACGAACCGTTGTGTTTACTGTCATCAAACGTTTCCAAGGCGGCTACACAGCGCCAGTTACAACTGAAGAGTTTCATCTCAAAACTCAGATCCACAATTTTTGAAAAATATGAGTTAAAAAATATCTGTTAATTGAGATCTCGTGTATTGAATTCCGACTTGTATTTTTGGATAGGAAAACATTTTGTTATTATTTTCCTTATTTTAGCAGATAATAATCGTGCATTATCTCAAAATCAACAAAATGGATAGCGCTTTGAGATGAAATTCTTTAACTCATTGTTCAGATTCTCAGTGGTAGGACACACCTGATTGGTCGCCATCGTCTCGCTTCCTCGGTACAACTTTACAGTTGCAATAAGCCTCTTTTTTCTTCTCCAGAGTCGGCTGACAGAAATAATGTTTGGGTCCCGTTCTAGACCAAGGCCATCGTCTTCCTCTGTTAAGTGAAATCAATTTGGAAACTGTGGAACAAAGTTTACGGTCCCAGATCCTCAAAGGATCGGCGAGTTGTCGGATCAAAGTCTACCCGTTGGCCCGCCACTCTTTCTGTAAGGCAACTGGTGACCATTTCATCGAAGGATGTGTGTAGAAAATGCTTCTTTTAAACGGCCACAACCCAGAGTACTTAGTGGAAGAGGGTAATAGCTTCTTCTCTTGGTTTAATCGTTAGAATGTGAACCGAGATTATGATACCTTTCGAAAGAATGATTTGAAATCGAAACAAGCCAGCGATCTTTAAATGATACCAGTTCGCTCAGAGGGAAGACTGACTCACCTTTCGGCCTTCACTTGATTCGCAAGGGCCTGACAGGTTGCATCGTCAATGTGGACTTTATCTGAAACAGTTAGCAGAATAAGCAGGTGTGAAAGCAGGTTACCAGTAAAAAATTCTCGTTTCTGTGCAAGACAATCGGAAGTTTTTGTTTCTTGTAAAAACGCTGTTACGGGGAATGCTCTTTTGCATGTCACAGTCATGTTTTGCCTACAAGATGAGCGGTGGTTATAAAGTATGACTGACCGTCAGTAAAAAAGCAAAAGAATAATCCAACTCAAAGTAAAAAAAAATCCAACAACGACCAAAACATCACAATACAGGACTATTAATCAGGCCTATGAAAATACAGCGCTGCTTAAAAGTGATGGAACAAAATTAACGTACATATTGAAGAGAAATATGGCACCAAGGGACCATATTTACACAAAATGTGCCGCTCTTAGCCTAATAGTTTACAATTCGGGCAACACGATAGCGATCTATATAGGACACATACCGTCATCTGCACCTGTATCGCTAGCGAGGACAACTGTCACGCAGACCCCGAGCAGTAGTGTCACGATCCAGCGAGTCATGGCGAGGTTGTTCCACGGACGGCAGACCGCGAGTAAGGATTCGCACGAACCGGCACCAAATTTATAACCACCGCTGGGCCATTTTCAGTTGCACACTTGAAATTTTTTTCTGATAATAATACAGTCCCACTTGAACGACTCGCAGTTGTGTTGGGAATGAATACCAGCAATTTTCTAATTAGGTTTTAATTATAAGTGGTGTCTACGGAAGTCGTAAATTGTGCCTTTTCGGTTATTGTTATAAACCCATTAAAGAAATACAAATTATGAATATGTATAATTATATTTTCAGGCAAGTACCAGTTCTTTGCTCCTAACTTTTCAGTCAAGTTGTTTCCCAATTTTTCCGACCAATCTCTATGAAACCTAAAGAAAGCCACTATACAGGTCAGTGTACCCCCGCCCCCCCATTTTGCCGCGGCTGTAATGCTGTTTGGAAAACATCTAAGGTAAAATTTAAGACAATCTTACTATCTGGCGGCTAATATGCACTCGTACTTATCATAAAAATCGACACTTGATGTAGACCTAGTGAGTTTGGTAACTTGAGAATTACGCGCGCAACATAATGCCAACATAATACCGTTTTGTTCCCATTACCAGAAGTTTGAACAATCCTCCCCCCCATACAAGCATAGCTGGGCTGGAAAATTGCATGATGCCCAATGGAGATCTTTGAAAGTCGTTTAACTTCTGATCGTTGCCCCTCTGAGCTGTGTAACGTACCTGCAACTTTGTTTTAGTTGACCTTCTCAAAAATAAAAGTAGACCATTTCAATTTCTCTCAATTACTAGAAGTGCGCCTTTGAGTGGAAACTTCGCGGCTGATTAATTTGTCTCATTATGCAGTTGCCTTGAACGTTGAAACCACGTACGACTCGACATGCAAGCACTGTATGAGGGTGAGACTGCGCCTAATTTTCAATATTTTTTAAAATATTAATTAAACTATTGAAAATTAGGTCCTTTTTTCTTTTGAATATTATGCACGTGCAGATTGAAACAGTTCCAGTAGTATGGAAAAAGAGAGTTGTGGACCATCACCCCTTTCACCCCCTTTCACCCACCCGCGCCGGGGTTTCCCACTTCACCCACCTTGACCTTTTGACCCCGGCGCACTTTTTGGTCAACAACTCGTGACGTGCGCCGGCCAGCACCGATCGCTCTAACAACCTACCCCGTGACTCTCAAACAAAAAGGGACTTCCCCTTCTCGACTTGACCGGTTACGTTTAAAAAGCTTTCTCAGGCGGTAATTCGGTATCCTTGGGTACGACTTGAAGTTCCTCTTTGACGAAACTCCTATTTGGCCCGTTTAATAAATAATACAAAGTGGGACCCGTTTTTACCCTTTTACGCCGGACTCGTTTTAATTGATTGGTGCGCCTCTCCACTTGATAAACGTCCACGGACCAGACAGGATCTGTTCCCCTTCTGACAGTTCCACCCTCTTGCTCAACCGGGTAATATAAATATCTAACGACCACGCTTGGAGGTAATTCACGCGACGCGCTTTTAACAGGTGCACTAGGTGTTTGTTTCACTCGGTCTTATTTGACGGCTTCTGCTTCTGCAGGAACAGCATCGATTAAACGCGTTTTTCCTCTTTTAACGATTTTACGACCCGGGGCAAACGTTCTACCCATTCCACGTTTCGCCCACCCACGTTTAACATTTTTTGAGCGTATTGATGACCAAATAACCTTTCGGCCAATGTACGGCTAAACGTACCTTTCCTAAATCCCCTGCGATCTAAGAACACCTGGCTCGCCTACTTGAATTTCTACTCTATTTTTTGTCATTAACTTTTTAAACTCGCCTTTAAATTCAAATTCCGAGTCTACCATTATAATTTTAAGCCAAGTCAGGGGCGATCGCTCGTAAATTTGTTTGCTCGCTACGCTCACTTGCTCGGCGGTTTTCCTGGTCAACAGTTCTGCTTTTTTATACCACGAACCCACGTCTACGATCGCCAAAGCGTATTTAAAAGTTTTTCTTTTAATGCGATCCCAGGGTAAATATAATATATCCATTTGATGAGCTTCGTTTGGTTTGACAAACTCGGTTTGCAACATTGTAGGTCTCGGTACGTAATTTGGTGCGGGTAAATATAATTGCTAAATGGCCTGCTTTTTTAGCCAGTTCCTAATAACTGATTTGTCCGCACCGGTCTTTTCGTGCAGATGATCTACAGCGCTTTCTCCTCGTCAGTAGCCTTGCGGGGTATAAAACAGTTTCTTAAAAGTTTCTTCCATTTTAAAATAAAATTACGCAAATCGATACGCTAAGAAACCGACTAAGGCCGTCCTACCTAAAATCCATACAAACTCACGAATTTTTTGATCCTTGGAAGGCTTGTAAAAATCGGGCAATTTAGGTTCTGGTGGCAACGGCATTATATTTTACCGGTCAATTCGCTGTAAGCTCCTAACGCTTCGTCCACGTTTACAAATGTTTGCTGATTTGGGCTTCTTGTCGCGTTCGTTCGTTCAGAAAGTCTAGCATGTGTACGTGGTTTTGCTCCCAGGATTCCGCCTTCGCTTGAGCCAATTGCTCTAATGCAAGCTCGTGACGCTTTCGTTTTTCGTCGACTTTACTTTTTGATAAACTGCTAAATAAAAAATTTGAACCCGTGAATGCCAAGGCGTTT